ATTTAACACTAGTTGTTGAAAAGAATTTCCTTTTTCCATTGAAAACTTAACTGACCATATAAGGGTAGGAATACTTCTGAACTCTCAGTCTGATTCCATTAATTTTATATCCTATCCTTATATGGGTATTAAACTTTCTTGAAAAAATGTAGCTTTTCATTTTATTTATTTTTTAAAAATATTTAATTTATTTATTCATGAGAAACACACACACAGAGAGAGAGAGAGAGAGAGAGAGAGAGAGAGGCAGAGACACAGGCAGAGGGAGAAGCAGGCTCCACGTAGGGAGCCTGATGCAGGACTCGATCCTGGGACTCCAAGGCTGAAGGCAGGTGCTAAACCGCTGAGCCACACAGGAATCCCTGAAAAATGTAGCTTTTTAAAGTTAAAATCCTCCAACCTTGTTCTTCTTTCTAAAAATTGTTTTAGACAGTATGGAGTTTCCTCAAAAAGCTAAAAAAAGAACTACCCTATGATTTGGCAACTGCACTGCTGCATATTTACCGAAAGGATATAAAAACAGTGATTCAAAGGGACACATGTATCCCAATGTTTATAGCAGTATTATCAAAATAGCCAAATTATAGAAGGAGCCCAAATGTCCACTGACAGATAAGATGTGGAATATATATACGTAGCGGAATATTACTCAGCCATAAAAAGAATGAAATCTTGACATTTACCACAATGTGAATGAAGCTACAGAGGATTATGCTAAGTGAAATAAGTCAGTCAGAGGAAGACAAATACTATATGATTTCATTCATATGTGAAATTTAGGAAACAAGCAAAGGGAAAAAAAGGAGAAAGACAAACCAAGAAAGAGATTTTTTTTTCCCCAAGAGATTCTTAACCACAGAGAACAAACTGATGGTTATTGGAAGGGAGGTGGGCAGGGGGATGGATCAAATAGTTGATGGGGATTAAGGAGTGCTCTTGCTGTGATGAGCACCTGATGCCGATGTTGTATGTAAGTGATGAATCACTAAATTCTATACCTGAAACTAATATTACACTGAATGCTAACTAACTGGAATTTATTTATTTATTTAAAAAGATTTTATTATTTATTTATTCATGAGAGACACACACAGGGAGAGAGAGAGAGGCAGAGGGAGAAGCAGGCTCCATGCAGGGAGTCTGACATGGGACTCGATCCTGGGTCTCCAGGATCATGCCCTGGGCTGAAGGCGGCGCTAAACTGCTGAGCCACCAGGGCTGCCCCTAACTGGAATTTAAATGAAAACTTGTGAAGAAATGTTTTAGATATCCTAGATCCTTTGTATTTTAATATAAAATTTAGGATAAAATTTAGGATAATTATAAAAAGGAAAAGCCCACTAGTATTTTGACTGGGGATGCATTAAATCTATAGATCACTTTGAGGTAAATAATATCATTCATTCATTCATTCATTCATTTATTTGAGATACTGAGAGAGCACAAGCAGGGGAGGGGCAGAGGGAGAAGCAGGCTTCCTGAGCAGGGAGCCGGATGTGGGGCTGGATTCCAGGACCCTGGGATCACGACCAGAGGCAAAGGTAGAAGCTTAACCCACTGAGCCACCCAGGTGCCCCAATAACATCTTTTAAATATTGACTTCTGAATCATGAAACTTATATATCTCTCCATTTATCTGGGATTCCTTTAATTTCTCTTAGGAAATTCTCTTTACATTTTTCAAGGTACAGGTTGTAGAGACATATTTTTGTAAATTTATTCTTAAATTTTTAATGCTTTGATTGGTATTTTATTTTTTTATTTTATTTTTTTTAAATTTTTATTTATTTATTTATTTATGATAGGCACACAGTGAGAGAGAGAGAGAGGCAGAGACACAGGCAGAGGGAGAAGCAGGCTCCATGCACTGGGAGCCCGACGTGGGATTCGATCCCGGGTCTCCAGGATCGCGCCCTGGGCCAAAGGCAGGCGCCAAACCGCTGCACCACCCAGGGATCCCTGATTGGTATTTTAAAAATTTTATTTAGCAACTGTTTGGCAGGAGAATATAGATAAATGACTTCAGCATATTGCCCAGATATCTTGAAAGCTTACTAAATTCATTCCTTAATTTTGTAGATTTTTTTGTAGATTGTTTACATGTACAATTATGTCATCTATGAAAAGAATTATGTCTTATCTGTATTTATTTTATTTCTTCTTTTTTTCCCTATTGCATTTACTTGAATATTCCAGGATAATATGAAATAAAAACTAGTGAGAGGATATTCTTATTTTCTTCTCTCTTTTAGGGGGGAAAGTGTTCTTTCACCATTGAATATGAGGTTACACATAAGGTTTTTTTTTCCCTCTTAATGCTCTTATTAGTTAAAGGAACTCTGTATTATTAAAGTGTGCAGGCAGTTTTTAATTATGAATGTATGATGAATTTTGTTAAGTATTTTTTCTGTACCAATTGGAATTAGCCTATGGTTTTTCTCCTTTGTTAAAAATTGAATATAAATGCAAATGAAATCCACATTTAGATACCATCTTATACCTGTTAGGACAGTTATTATAAAAAAGACAAAGGGTAACAAGTGTTGGTGAGGATATGGAGTAGAGGGAACCATTACATACTGTTGGAGTATAAATTGACATAGCCAGTATGGAAAACAGTATGGAGGTACCTCAAAAAATTTAAAAACTAGAACTACCATATGTTCCAGCAATCCCTCTTCTGGGTATATATCCTCAGGAAATGAAATCACTATCTTAAAGAGATATCTGTACTCCCATGTTCTCTGCAGCATTACTGACAATAGCCAAGATATGGAAAACAATATAAGTGTCCATTCACAGATGAAATGAATGAGGAAATTGTGGTACACACACACACACACACACACACACACACACACACACACGTATTTACAATGGAATATTACTCAACCTTAAAAAGAAGAAAATCCTGCTATTTGTGACAATATCAGATGATCCTGGAAGATACGGTAAATGAAATACACTAGACACAGAAAGCAAATACTGCATAATTTATTTTTATGTGGAATATAAAATAGTTGCATTCATAGAAGCACAAAGTAGAATAGTGGTTACCACGTGTGGGAGTTGGGGAACATGGGGAGATGTTGATCTTTAAATATTAAACCAACCTATATTACTGGGATAAATCTCACATGGTCATGGTATATTGCCCTTTTTATATTTTGCTGGATGCAGTTTGTTATGGATATCTGTCAATGATTTCTATTATTTTGTGGGTTATTGGTTTATAGTATTCTTTATTGTCTCTGACAAGAGTTGGTATCAGGTAAACTTGGCCTCACACATTAAGTATATAAGGAAGTATTCCCTCCTTTGACATTTTTGGCTAAAGTATGTGGCCCATCCAGGTGAATAAAATGAAAAAAAAATCTGTATTCTGCAATTTCTCAGTGTAATGTTCTATAACTGTCAGCTAGGTTAAATTGTTTGACATACATAGCTTTTGGGGCACCTTGATGGCTCAGGCAGTTAAGTATCTGACTCTCAATCTTAGTTCAGGTCTTGATCTCAAGGTTGTGGGCTCAAACTCCATGATGAGCTCCACACTAGGCATGGAGCCTATTTAAAACAAAACAAAAACAAGATATAAATACTTGTCTTCTATATCATTCTGACAATTTCTACCCTTTATGTGGAGTTTTATTTATTTTTTTTTTTTTAAATTTTTTTTTAATTTTTATTTATTTATTTATGATAGTCACAGAGAGAGAGAGAGAGAGAGAGAGAGAGAGAGAGAGAGAGAGAGGCAGAGACACAGGCAGGGGGAGAAGCAGGCTCCATGCACCGTGAGCCCGATGTGGGATTCGATCCCGGGTCTCCAGGATCGCGCCCCGGGCCAAAGGCAGGCGCTAAACCACTGCGCCACCCAGGGCTCCCCTATGTGGAGTTTTAAAACCACGTATGTTTACCACAATTATTTATACAATTAGGGTGAAACCTATAAATATTTGTACAGCCGTGTTCACAACAACATTATTTAACAGCCATAAAGTGCAAACAACCCAAATGTCCACTGATGAATAGATAAATAAATGTGGTATATACAGGAAATGGAACATTATCCATCTTGAAAAAGGAATGAAATTCTGATATGTGGTATAGCATGAATAAACCTTGAAGACATTGTTAAGTGAAATAAGCCAGATACAAAACAGTAAGTACTGTATGATTCTATTTATATGAGAGACCTAGAACAGTCCAGTTCATAGACACAGAAAGTAGAATAGTGTTGTCAGGCATTGTGGTGGGAGGGAGGAGGCAATGGGAAGTTACTGTTTCATGGGTAAGGAATTTCAGTTTTAGGAAGATGGGAAAAGTGCTGGAGGTGGTGTTGATATTATACAACAGTGCAAAATGTGCCTAATGCCATTGACTTGTGCACTTAAAAAAAGGAGTTTTTTATGTTATGTATCTTTTATCACAATAAAAAATGAGAGTTAATAAAGAGAAATTCAATCAATGTAATCAACAATATTAAAAGAATGAAGGAGAATAGCCCTAAAAATCAGTTCAATAAATGCAGAAAACACATGACAAAATCCAACATCATTCATGATACAAACTCCCAGCAATCTAGGAAGAAAAGAGAGCTCTCTTGGTCTAATGGAAGGCAACTACATAAAAACCTACAGCTAACATCAAATTTAGTAGTGAGAAACTGAATGCTTCCCACTAAGATTGAGAACAAGGCAAGACTGTTCACTTTCAGTATTTCTCATCATCTATGTCATGGAGGTCTTTGCCAGGACAGAAAAAAGAAAAAAAAAAAAACAGTGGAATAGAGGAAAGAAAGAATAAAAATTGTTTATGTAGACAACATCCCAAAATCTACATTAAACCGAAGTTAATAAGTGAGTTATTAGCAAAGTTGTATAAAGTACATGGTTGATACAAAAATAAATTCTATTTCTATGTGCTATCAATGAATAATTTGAAATTGAAATAAAAAACAATTAGCAATAGCCCCTAAAAATTAACAAACTTTTAGGAATACTGCTGTGATGTGTGCAGCTTTCATCTGTGTCTGATAGCAGTGTTTATGTTTTGCAATCAGATCTTGCTGCCCCCATAAACATGCAGCCAAAGAGTAAGTTGGAATAATAGTGTAGTGTTATTTTATTTGAAATAAAGTGATTTCCTATGTGCTTTAGTGAATGTTAAGTTTTCTAGTATCAAAAAGAAACACTCAAGTTGTGTTTAAAAAAGATTTATTTAGTTTAGAGAGAAAGAGAAGGGAGAGAAAGTATGGAGGGGAGGGGAAGAGGGAGAAAATCCTCAAGCAGACTCTCTGCTAAATGAGGAGCCCCATGTGGGGCTTGATCCCATAACCTAGAGGTCATGACGTGAGCTGAAATCAAGAGTTGGCCACTTAACAGACTAAGCCACCCAGGTGACCCAATACTTAGATTTTAAATTAATAAAATATAGCCTGATCTGTAAGCTAAAAACTATAGATGAAAAAATGAAGGAAAGACCTAAGAAAATGGAGAGAATATGGTGTGTTCAAAGAAAACTCAATATTTTTCAAACTGTTCTATAAATTCAATGCATTCCCAAAGTCCTGAAAGGGTTTTTGGTAATAACTGATAAGCAGATACTAAAAATCATATATAATGACAAAAGGCTTGAATTAATTAAGGTTTTTTTTTAAAGATATTATTTATTTATTCATGAGAGACCCAGAGATACAGAGAAAGGTTGAGACATAGGCAGAGGGAGAAGCAGGCTCCCTGTGGGGAGCCTGATATGAGATTTGTTCCCAGGACCCTAGGATCATGACCAGAGCCAAAGACAGATGCTCAACCACTGTGCCACCCAGGTGCCCCAGGCCTGAATTAAAACAACTGTGAAAAAGATTGGAGGATTCAAATTACCTATTTCAAGACTTAGTACAAAGTATCAATAATCAAGGAAGTATGGCATAGGGAAAAGGACAGACAGATCCACAGGGAGAATAGAGAACACAGACATAGCCACACCTATATGGCCAAGTGATGTTTCACAAAGGTGCAAAAACCGAGAGAAACGGATGGTCATTTCAAGATTTTATCTATTTATTCATAAGAGACACAGAGAAAGAGGCAGAGACATGGCAAAGGGAGAAGCAGGCTCCATGCAGGGAGCCCGATGCGGGACTTGATCCCAGGACTCCAGGATCACACCCTGAGCCCAAGACAGACGCTCAACTGCTGAGCCACCCAGGCGTCCCCGAATGATCATCTCAGAAATAGTTCTGGGAGAGTAGTCAAAATCATAAAGACAAAGTATAATGACGGGATGCCAGGGCCTGGGAAAGGGTAAGGAAGAATGGAGAATTATTATTTAATGTTTTGCAAGATGAAAAGAGTTAAAGGGATAGATGGTAGTGATGACTACACAATAAAGTCAATGTATTTAATGCCACTGAACTGTACACTTACATATGGTTAAGACAGTAAATTTTATCTTATGTGTATTTTAACACAATACAAAAATAGTACTAGAAAAAACTGGATATCCAAATAAATGACATGGTACCTACACTATACATAAAAATAGATTAAAAAATGGATCATAGATATAAATCTACAATCTCAAACTGTAAAATTTCTAAAAGAAATCATAGGAGAAAATTTTCATGACCTTGGGTTAAGCAAAAATTTCTTACAACACCAAGATCATGATATGTAACAGAAAAAAAAAGATAAATTGGACTTCATTAAAATCATAGATATGTGCTCTCCAAGAGGCACCGTCAAAAGAATGGAAAAATTAGTCATAGACTGGGGGAAAAGTTGCAAATCACATATATGGTAGAGGAACTGTATTGAACATAAATAAGGAACCCTAAAAATAAACAATTTGGGAAAAACCCCAACCAAATAAAAAGCTTCTGGGCAAAAAGATAAGAATAGACAATAGAGTTAAGAAGATATAAAAATGGCAAATAAGGTCATGGAAAGATGATCAGCATGACTAAGCACTGAAGAAATAAAAATCAAAACTACATTGAGACACTATAACATATTTATTCCAATGGATCTAATTGACATTGACAACCCCAACAGCTAGTGAAGACGAGGAGCAGCTTTAACTCTCCATATAGTACTAATGGGAAAGTTAAATCGTAGAGACATGTTAAAAACCAGTTTAGCAGTTTAAGTTGAATCTCTTCTTACCACATGATCTAGGAATGCTGCTTCAAGATAGTTACCAGAAGGAAATGAAATTTTATGTTCATATATTTATACCTGAAGAGAAATATGGATTTATAGAGTGGCTCCACCTATAAGTGCTATAAAGTGTAAATAAGCCAAATGTTCTGCAGCTGGTGAATGGACAAACTGGTATATCAGTATGATAAAATCCTACTCAGCAATAAAAAAGGAATAAACTGATTCATGCAAACACAAAAATGAATTTCAAATGCATTAAACAAATTGAAAGAAAGCTGCTTTCTGCTTCTAGCCAACATGCAGCAACATGGACAAATTACATGAAACAATTATTTTCAAGACAGTGGACATCAAGTAAAGAAATACAGTGATCCCTTCAGAATGTTAAAACCAAAACCAAAACCAAAACAATGCCTCACTTAGTGCTTTGAGAGTTTCCAGGCTTTGACATGGGGAGAGGATACTGCTAAAGTCCACCATATGGAGCTGGGAGTCTAGGGAGACCAAGGTGACTAAAATTCACAGAATAGACTATCAGACATGAGACAGCTACAAAGACAGAAAACTGTGGAGATTGGCAGGAGGCTGCTATCAAGTATTCAGCAGAGCACTAATGAGTTCATGTAAGTAAGAAACTCTTAAGACCAGGAAAAGAATCACCTGAAAGGGTCAGAAGGAACAGTCCTCACTTTTACACAGGGGCAAGAGTAATGCTAATTTCCACCACCCAGAGTTGAAAACCTCATGACTGATGGAACAGAGGAGAGTACTCAGCCATGATTTGAATCAGCTGTGCAGAATTATTCTAAATTAAACTCTGTTCCAGTCCCAACTAACAAATCTTAAAAGCAATCCCTGAAAGGATCAAAGTGTTCCCAAGTCATTTAGCTGTGTCTCAGAACAAAGCTTAACAATATAAAAATATCCAGTATCCAACTAGGCAAAAATTTAAAAAGTATGACATCCAATCAGAAATTGTGAAGGCAACAAAGAAGCAAAAAAATACTTCCCATATTCAGGAGAAAAAAAAAATCAACTAACCAAAACCAACTAAAAACAGACACAGATGGTAGAATTAACAGATAAGAACATTAAAACAGTTATAACTATACTCCATATGTTCAAAAAGCTAGAGGACAGATTGAACAGGTTAGGCAGAGGCATGGAAGATATAAAACAGATGAAAGCTACAATGTCTGAAATGAGGTATACTCTGGATGGACTGGTAGGAATTTGACACTGTAAAAGAAAACATTACTGAACTTGAAAATACAGCAAGAGAAACTATACAGAATGAAACTCAAAGAGAATAAACTTCGCAAATGAACAGAGTGTGAACTGTGAGACAACTTCAAACAGCCTAAAATTGTAAATGTAATTACTAAAAGGAAGGACAGAAAGGGACTCAGAGAAAAGTATTTGAAGAAACAACGTCCAAAATATTTCTAAAACTGATTGAAACTATAAATCCATAGGTCTAAGAAACTTCCAGCACAAGAGACTATATGATGGTACATCATGATCAAATTGCTGAAGACCAGTTAAAAAAAATAACTTTAAAATAGCCAAAAGAAAAATATATACATTACATAAAAAGGGACAGAGCAAAGCATGACAACAGATTTCTTGAGAGAAACCATGTAAAGTATCTTTAAAGTACTGAAAGGAAAAAACAAACAAACAAACTCTACAAACCTAGAATACTCTAGCCAGAGAAATATTTTTATATTTCAGACAGGGGTGCCTGGGTGGCTTGGTCAGTTAAGGGTCTTATTCTTGATTTTGGCTCAGGTCATCATCTCAGGATTGTGAGACTGAGCCATGGTTGGTGTCTGTGGTGGGTGTGAAACCTGCTTTAGATTCTTTCCCTCCCTCTCCTTCTGCCCCCCACCAAGGGACAGATATATTTCAGACATATCAAAGCTGAAAAGTACAATGCCAGCAGACTCACGTTTAAAGAAATGTTAAAGGAAGCCTTAGACACTAAAGGAAAATGATCATAGATGGAAATCTAGATCTACAAAAAGGAATGAAGAGCATTACATATGGTAACAATATGAATAAATATGTCATATATTCTTATTGATTAAACCTCTCTAGGGCAGCCAGGGTGGCTCAGTGGTTTAGCACCGCCTTCTGACTGCGGCGTGATCCTGGAATCCCGGGATTGAGTCCCACATCGGGCTCCCTGCATGGAGCCTACTTTTCCCTCTGCCTGTGTGTCTGCCTCTCTCCCTGTGTTTCTCATGAATAAATAAGTAAAATTTTTTTTAAAAAATTTAATAAACCTCTCTAAATCCCAGTTTGCTATTTAAATAAAAGTAATGATACAGTGTATATTGTAACAAATACAACTAAAACATATGACAGTAACAGAAATGTTAAGAGGAAAAAATGGAAGTACACCTTTGTAAGGTTCTTGTATCTATATGAAGTGGAAACATCACAGAAATAAAGAGTTTGATATGTTGAAGATGTAGTTTATAAAATCAAAAACACTCAATGGAGATACACCTGATAACTGACAATAGCAAATAAAACTGAATCATAAACAATACTCAATACTTATGTATTAGTTTGCTAAGGCTGCTATAATAAAGTAAGGTGCCAAACATTCAGTGGCTTAAACAACAGAAGTTAATTTTTTACAATTCTGGAAGGTAGAAGTCTAAGATCAAGGTGTTGGCAAGGTCCATTTCTTCTAAGGTTTCTCACCTCAGCTGGTAGATGGCTGTGTTCTCCCTGTGTCTTCTTTCTTCTGTGTCCTAATCTCCTCCTTTTATAAGGACACCAGCCATACTAGATTAAGACCCATCCTAATAATCTTATTTTAACTTGATTACTTCCTTAAAGATCCAATTTCCAAATACAGTCTCCAAATTCAGTCAGAGGTGCTAAGGTAAAGAAGACTTCAACATAGATTTTGGGGGAACACAACTCAGTCATAAAAACTAGTAATGAGAGAGGTGATATCAC